TTCTTTCGGTCACACAAAACTCGTGACCACAGGTGAGGGTAGGAACGTAGATCGACCGGTAAATCGAGAGCTTCGCCTTCTGGCTCAGCTCTCTCTTCACCACGAAAGACCGGTACAACGCCCGCATCACTGCAGACGCACCAATCCACCTGTCGATCTCACACTCGATCTTCCCCTCACTCGTGAACAAGACCCCGAGATACTTACACTCCTCCACTTGAGGCAGGACCTCATCCATGACCCGGAGGAGACATTACACCCTTTTCCGATTCAACGCCATCTCGGATTCTCATCCCAGCTGCTTCACACTCAGCTGCGAACCACTCCAGCGAGAGCTGGAGATCAGGTTCTGATGAAACCAACAGGACCACATCATCTGTAAAAGGCAGAGACCTGATCCTCAGGTCACCAAAACGGATGCCCTCCACACCTTGGCTGCTCCTAGAAATCCTGTCCATAAAAGTTATGAACAGAATCGGTGACAAAGGGCAGCCTTGGTGGAGTTTAACTCTCACTGGGAATGAGCCTGACTTACTGCCGGCAATGTGGACCAAGCTCTGACACCGGTCATCCAGGGACCTTACAGCCCATATCAGAGGACCTGGTACCCATAGTTCTGGAGTACCCCCACAGGGCCCCCGGTGAGTCTCCAAATCCAAAAGGGTTCAAATGAAGGCAACTGGACTTCTTTGGATTCTTGAAGACATTTTGCTTCTCATTCGAGGAGCTTTGTCAATTCTGACTGGAATATGGGAGAGTCAGGCTTATACGCTGTAGCTGTCTGTCGTTATTTAACGAGCAGAAACTACTCTGAGTACCCTTCCTCTCTAGCCCCTGATCGTCTGCTAACCCTAGCTTCTTGAGAGAATGCTGTTGTGTTGATTAGATGCAGGAGGGTGTGACTTAGACTGAAACTGCTTAGGAATGAGATTCAAAGCTGCATTATAGGTACTGGAAAGATGACACCTCTTCAAGAAACCAAAGAAGTCCAATTGCCTTCGTAACGTAGGTCAGAGGTCACCAGACACTGATTTGTCCACAGCCTGCTTCCTCAGTGTGCCAAGGGTTAACTGTGTGCTTGCACCAGGAGGGAGCTTTAACAAAATTCCATCTCGAGTCCCTTATCTGACCTAAAACTCACAAGTCTCTTCAGGAGAGAGACTTTTCTCTTTTAACAAAATGATCCTTATATTTGTTTTACAAAAGATAGACAGCCTGTGTCTTGGTGTCTACGTTAC